TGGAACACACCCTCAGGTCACCCTTCTTAAAGATGGGGACCACCACCCAGGTCTGCCACTCCACAGGAACTGCCCCCGATGACCACGCAATGTTGCAGAGATGTGTCAACTATGACAGCCCTACAACATCCATAGCCTTGCGATACCCAGGACGAATCCCATCCACCCCTGGGGCTCCACCGCTGTGTAGTTGTTTGACTACCTCAGCAACTTCTGCCCCCGAGATTGGACTGTCCATCCCCAGGTCTCCCAGCTCTGGTTCCTCCTCGGAATGCGCATTGGTGGGATTGAGGAGCTCCTCAAAGTATTCCTTCCACCGTCCGACTATAGCCCCAGTTGACGTCAGCAGCTCCCCATTCCCACTGTAAACAGTGTGAGCGAGTTGCTGCCTTCCTCTCCTGGGGCGCCGGACATTTTGCCAGAACCTCCTTGGAGCCAATCGATAGCCTTTCTCCATAGCCTCACCAAACTCCTCCAACGCCCGAGATTTTGCCTCGGCAACTGTCACTGTTGCACCCCGCTTGGCTATCCCGTACCTGTATGCTACCTCCGGAGACCCACAGACCAGCCACGCCCTGTAGGCATCCTTCTTCAGCCTGATGGCTCCCCGAACCTCTGGTGTCCACCAGCGGGTACAGGGGTTGCCACCACGACTGGCACCGGCCACCTTGCAACCACAGCTAGCAACAGCCGCCTCAACAATTACAGAGTGGAACAAGGCCCACTCGGCGTCAATGTCCCCCACTGCTCTCGGGACGCGGTCAAAGCTCTGCCGGAGGTGGGAGTTGAAGACCGTCTTGACAGGTTCTTCTGCCAGGCGTTCCCAGCAGACCTTCACTATGCGTTTGGGTCTGCCAGGTCTACGCGGCATCTTCCCCTGCAATCTGATCCAACTCATCACCAGGTGGTGATCAGTTGACAGCTCCCCCAGCAGGACAATGGAGTCCCCTGATGGAGCACTATCTAGCACTCGTCCCAGGGACTCCAAAAATGGTGGATAATCTGAACTGATATTTGACCCATAAGCACAAACAGTCAGGACCCGTTCCCCGACCCAAAGGCGTAGGGAAGCCACCCTCTCACCAGAAGCAATTCCAGCAGAGGAGAGTGTCCACCCCCTCTCAAGGATTTGGGTTCCAGAGCCAATGCTATGTGTCGAGGTGAGTCAGCCGGTACCGCTCAACCTCTGCCACAAGCTCCTGCTCCTTCTCCGCCAGCGAGGTGACGTTCCATGTCCCAAAAACCAGTTTTCTTGTCTGGGGATCGGACCGCCAAGGCTCCCGCCTTGGTCTGCCACCCGATCCACACTGCACCGGACCCTTCATGTTCCTCCTGTGGGTGGTGGGTCCACAGTTGGATGAGCCCATGTATCCGGTTTGGGCTGGGCCTGGCCGGGCACCATGGACGAAAGCCCGGCCACCAGGCGTTCGCTCATGGGCCCCAACCCCAGCCCTGGCTCCATGGTGGGACCCCGGTAACCCTCCGGGCCGGGTACTCCGACTCTTTGATTTTACATCCATGAAAGATCCTCTGAACCGTTCTTTCCATCTGCAGCCAACAGGAATATCACAACTTAAACACATTTTTAAACTTTCCTTTGTCATAAATCACTGTCTTTGTTGTTGAACAATATTTATTAAATGTGTTTGGAAACATTTATTCGTAATAAGAGTTCTAAGTTTTGTTCTAAACGAAATGAAACGCTAACCCCAACCCCAGATATAAACCCACTCATTGCCTGACCGAGGCTCACTAAAGTGAAATGTCTTGTCTAACATAACCGAACCCTTTGTTTCAACATTCACGACAATAAATTGCAACAGATTCAGACACCTGTAGCCTCAGCATGACTCGACATGGTGCAACCCCCCCCCCCCCCCCCCCCCTCCTCCTCATTGTCATGGCCGTCATTCTGACTGTTTATATGTGTAATTACCTTATCAAGTAAAATCATGCAGCCTCGCTAGTTCCTGGCTTTTTTTAAATCAGAGTAGATTATCAGTTAAATTGAGTTCATGTTTATTTTGCAAAGTGCAAATAAAACATGATCTGTGATGAGCGTTGTGAAGGGTTTTTTATTCTCAGACAGTTTTAAAAGTTTTGGGGATTGGAGGGAATGTGGGTATGCGGGGCCTTTTTAACTTGTTAAGCACTTTGAATTGCATGCATTGTTTGATTAAGTTTGATTATAAATAAAGTTTGAGTTGAGTAGATCTATTTGGCCAGAATAGTTGACTGGTGTCTCAGGGCAAGATGAAATCAGAACAAATCCAGTGTTTACTCGGGCTTTCTCTTCCTCGTCCTTTTGTCCTTTATACCTAAACTATGAAGTAAAGGAGAGAATGGTAGAGGGGCTGTCTGTGGAGCTCAATTTCCCTTGTTGTGGCCTAATATTTATAAATAGTTAGAATATTATTAATATAACTGTCATAGGTCTTTTAACTGACTTTTGAATATTTCTATGTTCTCTGTTACTTCAGTTCATAATTGCTTATTACAGATTTGTGTCAGAGGTGTGGACTCGAGTCATTATTTTAATGACTTCTGACTTGACTTGATAAAATTTAAAAGGACTCGCACTCGAACGCCAATGACTTGCGACTTGAATCGACTTGCATCTGTTGACTTGATGATGGCTTGAGCATATTTGATATTTCAGCACAAAAGTGGCTCGACATGGACAAAAATCATAAATCATTTTTGGTTCTGGGTATGATCTTGTTCCGCTAACTGCAGCAGCACTTTGTTCATAATCGGTTTCAGTTGCACTTTCTGCTTGCTGGAGCAAATAAATGAAGCTTTAAGAAGTTTCATTTCTGGGATTTATTTATTATCATCATCATTAAATTGAAGTTGGACAGATGACTTGAAAATTCAAAGTTAAGGACTCTGAGTTTACTTGGACTTCCAATTCATTGACTTTGCACTTGACTTGGACTTGGTTGTCTTTGACTTGGACTTGACTGGAAAGACTTGTGACTTACTTGTGACTTGCAAAGCAGTGACTTGGTCACACGTCTGATTTGTACACAATTTTGGCAACATGAATATTAGAGTCTATGTTTTGTTGTTGCAACAACTCGCTAAGATACATTTTTTGTTAACTTTTAGTACATTTTTTGTTTAATTTTGATGGAAAAATAGATAAAAAATGTTGTTTGTAAATCTGCTACGAAAGTTTGCTTGATGATGTTTTATAAAAATAAAAAAATTCTAGAATAATTGAACGTGTGTTGAATAAAAATGTATTTGGGTGTTATGGTTCTTAAAAAAGCATTATTGAACTAATTCAATTAAATATCATTAGAGTTATAAATTTTCAAGGTGAATTTGTTGACCTTTAAATGCAGAAGTCAAGATGGCTGCTCAAGGCTGTTCAGGTGAGAGAGCAGACGTGTGGAACCAAGCCCTGGAGTCCACACACACACACACACACACACACACACACACACACACACACACACACACACACACACACACACACACACACAGGGTTATTTTCTAATCCTCCAAAGTCCTCCCGGGTGTTAACTGGAAATGGGCGGAGCTATAACTGACCCATCAGCTGCTGAGAGTAATTGATTTGGACGTTAATCTGTTGGCTCTGGACCAAGAGCTAGGCTAATATTGGAGGGAATTGAAGAAATCCTGGCTCTGCCCCGAGGCTGTTGTTGTTTTTATAGATTACTGAAGATTAAAACAATTTCTGAGCGTCTTGCAGGAGCGAGTTAGTTGAAATGTTTGTCTGCTTGTCTGTAAAAATCATAAAACAGGGTCAGGAGGTAGATCCAATTTAGGACTCAGAGACAACAAAGGCACACTGTTGCTGTCGTGCTTCAGGAAAACTCTGGGCTCTTTGTAAGCGCCGTCTTTGCCCTTAAGGGGCTTGTAGGTGCAGTGTCTGTCAGTAGGCTCCATAGACTTTTCAGCTGGTTCTGCAGCAACTCACAACATACCAGACGTAGCTCGATCTCACTTCCTGTCTGGCTCATGTAACTTTCACTTTGAGAAAAATCCTCATGCAGCATCCATCTAAACTTATCGAAATCTGCATCCGGATCCGCACCGCAGCCGGTGAGAACGCTTGATGATTTTTGATCCATGCAGTAGTCGTACGATAACCAGACCACACGTTAGGCGTGAACAAAGCTTAATGGAAGAAGCAGCTTGATCATTGAAATCTGTACAAGTTAGAAAGTACAATTTTAAATTCAGTTGGATCGTACAGTGAGCCGATGATGTGACGCCAAACTGGAGAAATAGAACCCTTCAGATTAGGATTACTCAAAAATGAACAAATAACTCTGGCTGTGAGATTGGCTGACTAACAGTGAGTGATTGGTGGGTTAGCATGGTTGGAGGGACCAGGGTGTACCACTTGGTCAGTTAGCCCAGGGCTGCGGTGGCTACATTGTGGTGCTTCACTGCCGGTGTGTGTGCGTGTGAATAACTTTTGTGTTGTAAAGTACCTTGGGGGTTCGATATAAATACAGCACATTTACCTTTTTGGTGCAAAAATTGAGTTTAAAGTTGAAATTATTTTACCTTTTCAACATTTTTCTAATAGAGAATTTAAAAAAAAAGAGAGAAAGCAGGTTTTGGTAAAAAGGACACTTGTCTGGGATGTGGAGGTCATTTAGGTGCTGCTGCCATCATGTGGTCAGAGGTGAGAAAACATATCCAAAAACAGGAAAACTCTAATTAAAGGCGAATACCATGTAAACAGGCTGAAAATGCAAGAAAACTCCACTTTTCATTCAGATTAGTGGGTATGCTGGTAATCTGGACCAAAAGAGACGGCCTTTTGGTTTCTTAACAGTCTCTCGTGAGAAGAAAGATATATGTTGGACACACAATGTGTCAGAAAAGAAGCACCAGGTCCAGAAGCCAGAACCGCGACTCGGCAGATGAGACATGTTCTACTGACGTTCTACTTAGTACAACAAAGGTGGGGTGATCCACCATGGAGCTCTGTCACCAAACGAAAGAGAAGCACGGAGGAGGAGTTCATAGCAGGTTTTAATATGGAGTCATTGTTATGGACATATATTATCTCTGAGCACTAGAGGGGCGGGGTCATGACAGGTCACTGAAACAGAAACTCAGTAGTTTAGAAAAATCAATAAATAATATTATAAGTAAACCAAATACAAGTTTAAATAAAGGTATAGATGTTAAGGTAATATTTTGTCCGCATGCATCATAAAACACCTTCATCATATTCTATACAAACACAAGAAGTCGGTCGCAGACACGACTTCATATACGGGATGATTATATAGGCTACAAGGTTAAAATGAGGAAATGTTCATCATAGAAAACAAAGAACCCAGGAAGCACTTCATGGAGACCTCACATACACAACGCATCTTCCAAATACAAATATGTACAGACTGTATACTATATAGATTATTACTCTGTCGCTCGCTCACTCTCTCTCTCTCTCGCACACACACACACATACACACAGGCACACGCACAGTTTCAAATATGGATCCCTCCATCTAGTCACATAAGAGATCCTGATGCTCTAGACTACGTTTCCAATCTCTTCCTGAGGAAAATGAGCCAGAGACGTTCCAGTAAACAACAGAAGAGGACACACCTTTGTGCCATAGGTCCTGCTGGTAGTTCTCACCAGGATCCATTTGATATTTTAGGTGGTTTAACGAAATGTTTGTTTTGTTTACGTTTGAACGTTAAGTTTTGCAGCTTGACACGTTTTGCTTGGTTCCAAGATTTGGCATTTTACTTCCTTTCTTATTTGTTTCTGTTATGGATCTGGATCTTATAGAAGCCCACAGTAGTCTTTGGCAGTCCATTGGATGGTGTTGGGGAGCCTGGGCAATGCTATGGGAGTCTGAGGGGGCCAGTGTGAGAGCCTCGGGGAGTCTAGGGGAGCTTATAGGAGGGACTGGTACCTGAGGTGTAGGTAATGGGGGAGCCTGGGCGGTGGCTGAAGGCGTTTCTAGAGGAGCTTTTGTGGGAACCTGAAGGATCCTATGGGGGAGCCTTGCGGAGTCTCAGTGGTTCTTGGGGAAGTCTGTTGTCGTGTCTCCCCCCCCCCCCCCCCCCACCAATCTGTGTGGACCTCTGGAGGAAGTTCTGCTTATGAAACATGGTCCCTTCCCTGCAAACAGTCAACGTTGCATGGACGTGCAGATCATGTCTATATTGAGTCCGTCGGTTCAGAGCACTTCGGTAGGACGTTGAAACTGGGTCTTTGCACAGTAGGTAAGTTCTAATTCTGCAGAACCTTTGGAACCAAATTGTGAGATGAGACGTTTTTGTGTTGCACACTGACAAAGGCTCTTCTGCTGAAAACTCCCGGGGGCATCCAGTTTTCTGCCTTTTGTTTAGGACATATTTACATCCCTGTAACACCACGGCTCTAGTAACTTTTCCTGGTCGTGCGGTTCATCCTGGCTCTCTGGTTCAGGTCTGGCTTGTTGACACTCAGATCTAGATTTGTTCCTGACTCACTGGCTCTGAGCCGTTGCCCTTTGCTCTAGATAAGAGGGTGAATATGGCTTGCTGGTAGACAAACTCTCATCATCAGGTCAACACAGAGGTAATTAGATGGTGTACAATACTGTCTCACCCCATCTCACACACGCACGCACACACACACACACACACACACACACACACACACACACACACACACACACACACACACACACACACACACACACAGAATTATTCTGTAAAACAGGAGAAAATAAATAGATCAATTCCATCAAAATATCACATAATCAGCTTCTTCATCAATGATTCCACTAAGTCCAGGTAACATTTTTGCTGTTAGCTAAAGGCAGTCATCTGATGGCTCATCATAGTGCTGCCATTAGTTCTAAAACTTCTGAAGGAGTTATCCTGGCCCAGAACCATTTGAAACTTGGTTCTGGTCCAGAAGATGAAACCCGGATGGATCTGGAATATCATATAATTGCACTTTAGTTTCCATCAGAGTAACAGGCAGCGGCGTCACATTTTACTGCAGATTCGTCTCCAATCAACTTTAGTCACAATGGCATCAATGCCCACATCGCATATTTCCACCATGCAACATTGTGATTGCTTTAAAAGTTGCAGCAGCAGACACACGAAGAAGCGTGTTGATGTTAAACATTTGCTCTCTGCAGCTGTAATGGCAGCCTTTAGTTTGTTTCTGTTTTAGGACTCTAACGGTTCCAACAGGTGGTTCTCTCACTCAGCCGTGCTTGATTCAGCTCTAAAACTCGGTTTGCACTGACAGTTGGTATTTTGTCATCTTTAGAGACGATGTTGGATCTTACTAAACATCCGCTTTATGGAGAAGGTCATCAGAACTGCTGATAAGCTTGGGAAATACAGAGAAACCCCAGGGAAAAGAACAACAGGGTCGTCTTCTCGTTCCTTTCAAAGAAACATCTACAACGATAGACCAGTCTTACAAACCATTATGGCACATAGAGAATTCATCCCACAAGCTCAAAATAAACCAAGCCTGGTTATGTCTGCTGAAGCTCAGGTGGCACCCCACTTTGGTGTTTCTGATGTGTGGCCAGATCCCAGACTCGTCGTTCTGATCACAGGTTGGATGCATTTGCAGCAGCAGTCTGTTAGGGCACATCATACAGCGTCTATAAGGTTATGACATCATCAGATTGAAATTCCTCTCAGGGGGAGATGTTTGATGCAAGGTGAAGTTTTGTTGAACCGCTTCTCTCTCAGTTTGGGATGAGGTGAACTGGCTGAGGGACCTCCAGTGGTGGATGGGTTCAGAGAGTTACTGACTACACCTCATCTGATCAATGGAGCACACACACACACACACACACACACACACACACACACACACACACACACACACACACACACACACACACACACACACACACACACACACACACACACACACACACACACACACACAACAAACAGTGCAAGGACAAGACGAACCACCATTAAACAGCATCATGGAATGATCAGCTCACTTGTTTGCTGTGTAAAATGATGCTAACCTAGATCAGGTTTAGTTACTGAAGATGGGAACGCGTGACTTTTGAACTGTGGCGGCAGATTCTGTTAGCTGGGCATTGTTGGGTTTTTGGGATGCAACAATCCATCATGCCAGATGTGAATGATCATAATCCGACCACCAAAATGATCCCCCATAAAAATACATCTGTTTTCAAAGTGAAGGAGTATAAAGCAGATTCACTAAAGAAATAAATCTATGAAAATATCATGATGCACAAAGAAGTCATGTGGTGAGGAGATGCAGAAGACGAGGAAAGGTCAACTTCCCCTCTCTGGTTCAGCTTACAGCAAAATGTGTGAAACAGCTGTGTCCTTGTGCTCATTTTGTGTGTGTGTGTAAGTGTGTGTGTGTGTGTAGCATCTATGGCTTGTTTTGTTGTACTCAAAGTGCTTGAAGAGAAAACAAGTCATCATTGCCTCATGCTGCTGCTTCTCACAGCCTCTTTCACTAAACACTTCCAGGATTTGACCAGAAAGACTAACGAGTTAGGTCTGCCTTGCTCGTCCAATCAGGATGTCTGTTTTCATTAATTAGTCCAGCATCTTGGAGCCAGAAGGAACTCTGCAGCTCAGATGCACACAGTCATCTCTGTCATTACATTCATTTAAAACATGATATATGTTCTATTTAGGAAATAATGTTTACATCTTAACGCGCTGGCACCATGGTGAAAATGACTGTAGTCTGTATTATTTGTTCCATCAGTTCTTAGCGGTTTGTAACACATTTAGAATGACTCTTTTTGCATCTCAGCCTTTCTGCCCATGTGTGGTTTAAATACATCTGCTCACTACTCAGACCTCTCTGAAGGAATTCTTTGGTTTTTATTTGCTGTAGTTCTCACTGGTGTGCCAAGATTAGCTAACTAGCACAGCTCAGCATCATGGCTCCTCCCTCTCCGGCTCTCACCTGTTGTGTATCAGATGTTTAATTACTCCTCTATTTCCTTTACTGATATTAGTTCATGTAACAAATGTAACCTGCTGCTGAAACACTGTTAGATAGCCAGCCCTGGACGCTAGTCTGGTGCTGCAGGAGCCAGAGACCAGAGCGGCGTGCAAGCAGACCCCCACTGTGTGTGTGTGTGTGTGGGGTGGGGGCAATCGAGAAAAGTGCATCTGCAGGGGAGGGCGGGCCAGGCAAAGAGGCAGGAGAAGCATCAGGAGCGTGCAGGAAGGCAGCTGGCCTCCTACAAATCCAGGCGGCAGAGGGGAGTGGCGAGCTGGATGGAGACTGAAAGAACTGCTAAGTCTGTGCAGTGACTAACGAACATTTTTTAATGTACTGCAAGGTGTGTGTGTGTGTGACTCCTGTACATACCTAACTGCACTTTTTTTGAAAAGTCAAACATTCACAGTCAGGATGTGTCTCAGGCAAGGCTAGAAGTGTTTTTGTGAATCAGACTGTCTCTCTTAAACTGGTAAATCTGTCTGTCCCCAGGACTAAAGCATCAGACATGCTGGAAATGGAAGTGGCATGATGGCTAATCAGTGTTTTTATCAGTGTTAATTTCCTTGGAACATAAACACACACACACACACGCACGTACACACACACACACACGCACGTACACACACACACACACACACGCACGTACACACACACACACGTACGTACACACACACACACACGTACGTACACACACACACACACACACACACACACGTACGTACACACACACACACACACACACACACACGTACGTACACACACACACACACGCACGCACGTACACACACACACACACGCACGTACACACACACACACGCACGTACACACACACACACACACGCACGTACACACACACACACACACGCACGTACACACACACACACACACACGCACGTACACACACACACACACGTACACACACACGCACCTTTACGGTCTCAACAGAAAGTTTCCAGAAACATTCACAGTAAACAGTCGCTGAAAGCAGATGGCTTCTCTGACGGACGGTTCTAGGAGGTACTAATTCACTTCCTGTAGCAACAGCAGACCATGGCTGACACATCCCTAATATGAATGACTCAGAGATGAGGAAAGAAAGACTAATCTCAGCCTACAGCAGTGGGATTGTCGGGGGGGTCGGGGGTGGAATAACGTTTGGACAACAAACGGGAAGTTTCACTTCCAATAAAATAATGCAAACATCCATTAAATGAAGAAAAAAACCTGATCTGATTAATTGAAAACCCAGTAAATAACTGTGCTTCTTCTTAGAACAAATCAAGGGACGTGCTCACAACTGAACTTTTTTCATGAAAGCAAACCAAAGTAAACATGACTTAACTGAAATGTCGAGATGTATTTTAATTTGCTGAAGTATGAAGCAGCTGACCAGAAGTGGACAAATAATAGTTGGTCCCAAACTATCACCCGACTGTTTAAAATCCAACCTGTGAAACGACAGTTTGAGTTAGGACAAGGCAGAGAAAAGGCTGGATTAGTAACATCTTCCCACAAAGAAGTGGACAGCCATCCTGTCTGGCGTGTAAACCCTGTGTGTTCCCGTTGGAGTCCTTATAATCGCGTCTGAGCTTCAGGGATGTAGATCTCGATGCTGTCGGCGCTTTCAGTGGCTGAGTTTTGGCGTACAGAAGCAGCTCTCTTCGCAGCCATCAGGCGCTTCCTGACCTCCTGCCGCTGTTTCTCTGAGCTCTCCAGTGAGCGGTCTCTGGCCAAAGGGGGGTGGTAGTGGGAGTCCTTGTGTGGCTTTTTAGGCACTGGAGGTGGAAGCCGCCTCTCCTGGGAAAAAAGATGAGTTCAAATGATGGTATGCAGGGATTTTAGGAAAATCAAAGCAGTTTCTTTACATGTTTCCTTTATATGATCGAATCTTAGGTTAATGTTGGTATTTGCAAAAGAAACGGTTCCAATTTCCATTGGTCTCTGGTGGCTTTAGTGAAAACAGTTCAAATCTGACCTAACGATTTTGCTTTTTTCTTTATCTAGGGCAGTGGTTCCTAACCTGGGGGTCCCGACCTCCACAAGGGGGCGCCAAAGCCTCTCAGTGGGTCGCCAGGACCTCCCCACTTTAAGGGGTTAAAACTTCATTTATTACTTGTTTATGGCCTACATTTTGCTCACATTTGTTTTTTTCATGAGTGAAAAGTTTACTGATATTAAGACAGGAAATAATTAGTACAGAAAAAGTAACACACTTTTAAGAACATTTTGCTCAGCTCACTGTTTTATTTTCAAGTGTCAAAAGTTCATTAAAGATAGGACTGATTGATTAATCACAGCGTTTACAGTAAATGATCTAGTATAAACAGTAATATACACATTTAAGTACATTTTGCTCAGTGTATTTTTTATGTGTCAAACGTTTATTGAAAGGAATGATTGATTTATCAGTGTTTACAAGAAACAATGTGTTCAGAAAAGTAATACAAACTGTCAAGCACATTATGCTCTGTTTGGTTTTGTTAATGACTTTGTTCTGTACTGGAGCCTACTATTACTGTTATCTATTGAATCAAAGCATATTAAAATGTGCTTGAACAATTTTATCATTTCTTAATAATGTTTGTACTGGAAGAGAGAATGGGAGGGGGTCGTCAGAAATTTTACTGGTAAAAAACGGGGTCCCTTGGGAAAAAGGTTGGGAACCACTGATCTAGGGGGTAACACTTGCTGCTCACCTCATGTAAGCCGTTCGTTTCACTGAGTCTCGGGGTTTAATGGGATTCTACTCACTAATTTTTCTCCCTGAGTTTTTTAGGACATATTTTTTCTGGCCAGTTTTGACTTAACTTGTGCCCAATTTGAAGAGACGTTTAGGTACTTTGATACACTTAGTTGTTATTGAGATGTCAATGTTCAGAGTAGCTCACCGTGGAGCTGATAATGCTTCTGACTCAGCCTTTGCCAGGTGGAAGGTGTTTTTTCTTTATGGTTTTTGTGTAAAGGCCCAGGGCAGAGCCAGGGAGTTTGTGCGAGTTTCTTATGAGCTGAATGGTTGACACTCGTAGCTGAGGCCAGTGGTAGAAACACACACCTCATAACAATAAAACTAAATAAATAATTACTGCATGTATTAATTAACAAATGTATTTAGTTATGTATTTTAGGGTTAGGGTCATTATTAATTTACAGTTTTACTTCCCTATTACTTAATTTATTTCTTCCTTTATTTCTTGTTCATTTTGCAGGATCAGTCCTCCATAGGCACAGCCTTGTTTCTCATTTAAAACAGTGAAATGATTGGTCGCCCGTCAGCGCACTGACAGCTTGTAGCAGAACGAATCCGAGGTCCTGAATATTTCTGCACATTGGTTATCAGATGATGACCCTCAGTGCTTTACTCCATATACAGTGGGGCAAAAAAGTATTTAGTCAGCCACTGATTGTGCACGTTCTCCCACTTAAAATGATGACAGAGGTCAGTAATTTTCATCATAGGTACACTTCAACTGCGAGAGACAGAATGTGAAAAAAAAAATCATGAATTCACATGGCAGGATTTTTAAATAATTTATTTGTAAATCAGGGTGGAAAATAAGTATTTGGTCAATAACAAAAATTCAACTCAATACTTTGTAACATAACCTTTGTTGGCAATAATAATAATAATAATAATAATAATAATAATAATAATACATTTTATTTCAACAGCGCCTTTCTGAACACTCAAGGACACTTTACAGAGATAAAATACACAACAATAAAAGATAAAACAGCATAAAACAAACAGACAGATTGGAGCAACGAGAGTAATTATTGGAATGCTAGACGGAACAGGTGAGTTTTGAGTCTGGTTTTAAAGAGAGTGAGGGAATCAATGTTACGGAGGTCAGGAGGAAGTGAGTTCCAGAGCTGGGGAGCAGAGCGGCTGAAGGCCCTGCTCCCCATAGTGACCAGACGGAAAGGTGGGACTGAGAGGTGGATGGAGGAGGAGGACCTGAGGGAACGGGTGGAGGTTGAAGGATGAAGGAGGTCTGAGAGGTACGGGGGAGCTAGGTTATGGATGGCTTTGAATGTACATAGCAGAATTTTGAATTGGATTCTGGAAGTGACAGGGAGCCAGTGGAGCTGCTAAAGAACAGGGGTGATGTGGTGGAAGGAGGGAGTTCTGGAAATGATGCGGCCTGCCGAGTTCTGGAGAAGTTGGAGTTTATGGAGGGATTTGTGAGGAAGACCGAAGAGAAGAGCGTTGCAGTAGTCAATACGGGAAGTGATGAGGCTGTGGACAAGAATGGCGACCGAGTGAGTAGTGAGGGAGGGGCGTAGGCGGTTAATATTACGTAGATGGAAGTAGGCAGACCGGGTAATATTGTTCATGTGGGAATGGAAGGATAGTGAGGAGTTGAGGATGACACCCAGACTCTTGACCTGAGGGGAGGGGGAAACTAAGGAGTTGTCGACGGGAAGTGTAAAGCTGTGGATTTTGGATAGTAAAGATTTAGTGCCGACAAGTAACATTTCTGTTTTATCACTGTTGAGTTTGAGAAAGTTTGATGTGAACCAGTCTTTGATTTCAGATAAACAATATGAGGGAGGAAGGAGGGAGTGAAGAGGAGGGTTTGGAGGATACACAGAGCTGGGTGTCATCCGCGTAACAATGAAAATGGATGTCAAATTTACGGGAAATATTTCCCAGGGGAAGAAGGTAAGTGATGAAAAGGAGTGGACCAAGAACAGAGCCTTGGGGGACGCCAGTAGTGACAGGGAAGGGACGGGAAGTGAAGGATTTTAGTTGAATAAACTGAGTACGGCCAGAGAGATATGAACGGAACCAATCAAGCGGGGTATGAGAAATGCCAAGGGAAGACAATCTATGGAGGAGGATGGTGTGAGAGATGGTATCGAAGGCTGAACTCAAGTCGAGGAGAATGAGAATGGAGAGCAGTCCAGTATCGGCAGCAGTGAGGAGGTCGTTAGTGATTTTTATGAGTGCAGTTTCTGTACTGTGGCCAGGGCGAAAACCAGACTGGAAGGGCTCATAGAGGCTATTGAGCGTGAGATGAGCATGGAGTTGAGCAGAGATTATTTTTTCAAGGATTTTTGAAAGAAAGGGAAGATTTGAGATGGGACGAAGATTATTGAAATTATTGGGATCAGTGCCGGGTTTCTTTAATATTGGAGTGATAGATGCAGTTTTGAAAAGTGAGGGAACAATACCGGTAGAGAGGGAGGAGTGGATTATGGAGGTTATGAGAGGGAGAAGGGAGGTGAGACATGTTTTAACCAAAACTGTAGGGAGGGGGTCGAGAGAGCAGGTGGTGGGCTTGGATTTACAGATAAGATCAGATATTTCGGATGAGGTGGGAAGAAGAAAGGAACAAAATGACTGGCCGGGTGAAAAAATCTCAGGGGGAGGGTAAGAACTTGGAATTAATTGCTGGTGTATGGAAGCAATTTTCTGAATAAAGAAGGTTAATAAAGAGCTACATGAGTCAGCAGAATACAGGTGGGGTGGGGGGGTGGGGTTGGGGGGGTAGAGAGTCCGGGGGATGAAAAATATTGCGCATTATTGAGAACAGAGTCCTAGAGTTGCCTTCATTGGAGGAAACCAATCCAGAGTAGAAAGCAGATTTTGTATGTTTAATTGAGTCCAAGTATTGAAGCAGATGAGTTTTGTGCATTTCTTTGTGTACTGAAAGACCAGTTCGTTTATAGAGGCGTTCGAGTTGACGTCCTTTGGCTTTCATCTGTCGGAGTTCAGGGGTAAACCAGGGGGCAGAGTTAGTAAAGGAGACGGACAGAGTTTTGACAGGGGCAAGAGAATCCAAGATATTGTAGAGTGTGGATTTATAATGAGAAACAAGAGGTCAAAAGATTACTATAGGTCTTTACCAGGTTTGCACACACAGTTGCTGGTATTTTGGCCCATTCCTCCATGCAGATCTTCTCGAGAGCAGTGATGTTTTGGGGCTGTCGCCGAGCAACACGGACTTTCAACTCCCTCCACAGATTTTCTATGGGGTTGAGGTCTGGAGACTGGTTTGGCCAGGGGCGGATTTAGGACTGAAGAAGATCCGGGGCTTAACACACACACGCACGCACGCGCACACACACACGTGACACGCACTAGTCAACATCATACATGTCTTGTACCACATAATTTTTTATCTGAAGCTACATATTAAGCATTTTCAGGGCAGAGTAGTGTTCCTGTTAGTGTTTAGTGTGAGATGATAGTAAATATTCCCTTTCTTTCTTCATCAACTTTACCTGATAAGCTAACTTTAGGCAAACCAGCAGCACAACAAATATTTTCAAATAAGACTCACAAACCTGAGTCAACACCAGTCTCATCAAAGCTGGGGTTCTGTCGTTGTACTTTTTGTCTAAAAACATCCTTATGTCCATCTTCACTCATGCGTTTCAGGCAGAGAGTGTAGAAGAAGCCGGCTGCTGAAGGGCTTCTTCTTCAGTGGTGGAGGCTCAGGCAGGCTGTATACAAACTACTGCCAGCTGCTCCCTCTCTGTTGGACTTTGGTACTGCATGTTACTTCCGTGATTTAGATCCGGGGCTTTTAATGAAACATCCGGGGATTCAGCCCAAGTAGCCGGGCCTAACGCCGCCCCTGGGCTAGGCCACTCCAGGACTTTCAAATGCTTCTTACGGAGCCACTCCTTTGTTGCCCGGGCGGTGTGTTTGGGATCATTGTCGTGTTGGAAGACCCAGTCACGTTTCATCTTTAAAGCTCTCACTGATGGGAGGTTTTGGCTCAGAATCTCACGATACATGGCCCCATTCATTCTGTCCTTAACACGGATCAGTCGTCCTATCCCCTTGG